GCATTTGGGGTAAAAATTGGGAGTTCATAACCCACTTCAATCTAATGTATGAAATATGATGTCAAGAGCTTTGTAATGTTGTGAACAACCAATAAAAAAAAGAAAAAAAGAAAAAAATGGGCAAAGGATTTGAACAGTCATTCTTCCAAAGCAGATAATCAAACAGCCAATAGGTTCATGAAAAAGTGCTCTGTATTACTAGCCACCAGGGAAATGCAAGTCAAAACCACAATGAGATACTGCTTCATACACTAAGATGGCTATAATAAAAAAGACAGTTATAAGGGTTAGTGAGGATGTCATGAAGTTAGAACCCTAAACATTGCTAATGGGAGTGAAAAATAGTACAGCCCCTTTAGAAAAGTTTGCCAGTTCCCCGGAATGCCAAACATATTTACCATATGATCCAGCACTTATATTCCTAAATATATATTCAAGAGAAATGAAAATATGTCTGCATTAACTGTACATGAAGATTCAGAGCAGCAATATTCATTTGTGTTTATTTATTTATGTTTGCAGTGTTGGGGATTGTTATGGTTTAGATGTGGTGTCTCCCAAAAACTCATGTGTAAGACAATGAAAGGTTTGGAAGATAGATGATTGGGTTACAGCCTTATCCTAGTCAGTGTATTAATCCCTAATGGGATTAACTGAGTGGTAACTGGAGACAGGTGGGGTGTGGTGGGAAGTGGTTTGTTGGGGGCGTGGCTGGCGAGTGGAGTCTCTGGCTAGTGGAGTCTTTCTCATGATTTGAGCTGATTCCCTCTGTCACACTCTCTCACCTGATGTTCAGCCTCACCTTGAGCCCAGAGGAATGGAGCCAGCCTTCTGTGGACTAAGACCTCTGAAACCATGAGCCCTCAAATAACTTTTTTCTCCTCTACAATTATTTTGGTCAGATCCTTTAGTCACAGCAGCAAAAAAGCTGACTAAAACAGGGATCAAACCCAGGGCCTCTCCTATGCCAGGCAAGTTCTCTACCAATGAGCCACATCCCTAGTATAGCCCTATTCATAATATCCAAAAAGTGGAAACAATTCAGATGTCTATCAACTGATGAATGAATAAACAAATTGTGGTGTATCAGTACTATAAGATATTATTTTGTAATAAAAAGGAATGAATTGTTGATAGGTACTACAACATGAAGAGTTTTGAAAAAAAAGATACCAAATAAAGGATGAAATACACTGGCAAAAGTGGTTGACAGTTTAGATTCAGAAATATAGAATAAAAGATAACAGATATTCCCTGAGAAAAGAACTTCTCACATTTTAATTGTCTAAATCACCAACTATTGCTATGTAAAAAAGAAATGTGCTCTGAAACATTTCTATTGACAAGTGACTATCACACAAATCTGTCAAGTAGATGAACTACCATTTAATTAGTTTTCATTGTATTATCTCTACCACCAAATCCTAGGCTGAATATAGTGGGGTCAAACCAGGATATGTATCTGATACAGTAAAATTCAGACTGTCAATAGTTTGAGTTTTTAAATAAAATTATCTTCTATGTCTCTGTCCTCTATTAATATGGATATGACAGAGTTGGCTAATTCATTATAGGCTATTTGGTTGAGGTAAACTGAAATATTGTTTCCAAAAATTTTCCACTTTTTGTTTGGCTGTCATCTGGTCTAAATATCTTTAGTCTGTGAGATCTGAAATCATAGCCCTTTAGGAAGCACTGCTTTAAATAGAAGAAATTGAATTAAAGATCAGTCTTCCTAAACTATAAGCTTCATGAAGGCAAGGACCACATCCATTTTGTTTACTATCAAATATCTAGTGGTTGAGACACAATTTGCACTCAAATAACATTTACTAAATGAATTAATGCTTAGAAGAACACAAAACTAGCCAGGTGGTTTTGAGATTGAAAAGTGCATCAGAGTCACCTACAGAGCTTATTAAAATGCAAAGTGCTAGGCCTCACCTCCAGCACTTTCAGTCTTTCTGGTTCATTAAGTGTGGGATGGAGACAAAGAATTGACATTTCAAGTGAGTTTCTAGGTGATGCTGATGCTGCCTAGTATGCTGCCTGGTGCATAGTAAGCATGTAATAGGTTACATTAGTTGAAAGAATAAATTAATAAATATTTAACAAATACTTTAAAATTTTCATTTGTTTTCAGTAGTGGAAAAGAAGTTGAAATTGAACTTTCTTTCCTGCCTTATTGGGAAAGAATCAGAACCCCTGCTAATATGAAGTTGCTTTATACTTATTTTAGTTCTTGAGCATTTTTTTCTTTTTCATACAATGTGTATGTCATGATTTATATAACAGATATTCAAAGCACTTGTGAATGGAATATAATATAATAGCAGTTACCAGAAAAGACGGTGACATCATATCTATACCCGAGAGATGACCACCATTGGGCTACGAAAAAAAAAATTAAGAAAATAAAATTTTTAAAAGAATGAGGTAAGGCAACCAGTACTTGTGTTTTTAGAAGATTTTAGTAGAGTAAAAGTATGAGTCATTCAAGTAACTAGCCAGCCATATTATCATTAAAAAGCTGATGAAATACCTTTATTCTAAATGTCATAGTAAAGGGTGAAATAAATAAAACTACCTTAAAAATGTTTTTTTTTTTCCCCAGAAGAGGGCATTAGTGAGCCCAGAGGAAAGGACTTAGAACAATACTAATAGGCAGGTGAAGATGGAAATCATTATTTAGAAATAAGAAAGTAATGAAAATTTAGGGCTCTCCGTCCTCCAAAATTTTAGTTCCAATGATTTTGACTCAATTAAAGTCCTATAGATAGTGGATATGTAGGTTTAAAAAAATAAATGAAGTTGCTGAGTAGACCAAGTCTTAATATCATATTAATCTAGCTGGGAACATGGACTTCAAGTTCTAAATATAAGTTGAACTTGTAAGTAATATTATGTGACTATGAACAACTATACAAATTTTAGCCAATCACTCAAACAAAATAAGGATCATTAACCACCAACATCAGTCTAGCTATTCAGTATTGAATGTTATTCTTTCCTCTTTCAAATAGGAAAATGCTCAGATTACCCATATTATCTGGGAAAAATTATGTAATTTTAAACACAAAGCTCTTTCATATTTCATTCTTGCCCTGGCATAAATATGAATGTCTAAGGGCATTTGATAAGTCTACTCAAATTAAGTTATTTGAAATTAAACTTCAGGCATTGCTTCATTCTCCTCTTAAATGGTTTCCGATTACCTTTTTAAAAGAAAACAAACAAAATCTCCATTTCACCTCTCCTCTTCTGGGTGTGTTTTAATGCAGTAAGTTATCATAATTCTACTTTGAAAGCAGGAGTAGTAAGTTTTAAGCTTTTCATAACAAGTGCTTCTAGAAGGGACCAAATCAGTACCATTTCAACTTCTAGATCTTGAAATCAAATGATTTCCCAAAGTTTTAAAAACAAGCTATGGAAGCCCATGTTAATTATTTCTTTGTAGAATATAATAGCTCATCTATTATCACCTGCTAGGAAAAGTGAGAGGCTACAATATGGTGTATTGTGACTCCCACTAATTCCCAGATGGATTTAGATGATTTTCCTCTATATATCTAGAGTACCCTTCATATACCTCTGTTGGGGCAGTGGTAAAGGTCTGATTTGGGGATAAAAACCTGAAAATTATTTATATATTTATTCATTTTTTGTGGTGCTCGGCATTGAACACAGGGCCTTGCACGTGCTAGGCCTAAAGATAATTTTTTTAAAAATAAAGTCTTTACTTAATCTGATGTTCTAATATCTATTCTTAGAAGTAAGACATCCAAGTCTAGCTTTATAAAGAAAATTAATTCCAAATCACTCCTAATAAGAGGAACTTGGAATTTCAATTTCTTGCTTTTCAATGCAACTTATTTTCCTCCTAAAGTTAGAGAAGTAGTTTGGTTCAGAAAAAGGAAAAAAAAACTACTTATAAATTATTGTTATAAAGGAGATTCAAACAACCAACTCCATGGCTTGTTATTATTTGTAAAAAGGCCATGAGCTCATGCATGTTATACAGAACTAAAGACAAGTTAAAGTATGTTAAAGGATCCCTAGTTGTTTCACCTGACTCTCAGTTGAGATAGACAGTCTACGAAATTCCACCTGAAAAATAAATGTCTCAAATTATACTTAGGATATAAAACATCATAAATGATTCCAACAAAGTCTGATTCCAAAAGATTGTTCTTGACAACATCCCACCTAATCTCCCAGGTAGTATCTCACCTGTTTTATCTCACTTTTTAACTGCATGATCCCAGTTCGTTCTGTTTTGGTTGCTCCAACAGCACCAATCTCGTGGATAGAAATAGCAGGACTGACATTTGAATCAGTGGGACGAACTATATAGAATAAGGAATTAGAAATAAAGAATGATCAGGTTCATTTTCTCCTATCCCATGTTAAAAAGGCTTAGATGTATGTCCTTCTTTTATTTTTAACTTAATTTTTAAAAAACTCAACGAGTATAACCTTGCTACTTAAATTGTGGTCCATGGACCGGCAGCATCAGTATTATTTAGGAGCTTGGTAGAAGACTCTCTGGTCCACTTCAGATCCACTGAATCAGAATCCACATTAAAGTAAGAGCCCTATCTTGACATACACTGCTTTCTTTCTTTTGCCACTCTAAATCCTGGCCATCCATTTATCTGATTTTATATATATATATATTTTATCCTAAGCTTAAGCGCTGAACATGAGAGGTAACCCATTTCATTAGCTCTGCTTCTTTACATATGCAACACCAAATAATGTTGCTGAAACCAAAAGTGCAGGCTGGGTTTAGTGCTTGCTGTAGGCATGCACTAAAATACCACATCAAAACCTATTTCATATACAATTAAAATACATTAATCACAAACTTAAAAAGTGCAGGAAGAAGACTAGTTTTTGATGGACTCCTAGACATATTAGAATTTAAGGTTGAAAAGGACACATTTAGATATACTGTAGCAGCTATCCACATACATACACACTCCAAACACTGTAAGTGCTACTGAATTATTGGCAATTAGAATACAAAAAAGTTTCAGATAATGTGGATTGTTAGTTGTCCTAGAGACTCAGGATAATGTAAGGGAATGGTCAAAGTAGTTAAAATGAAACATGATAGTAATGAATCCACTTAGTCAATATATCATTTAAGGGAAAAATTGAGACAAAGTGTTTTTCAACTATTATTGCAAAGGATAGCTTTGCTTTTAATTGTTTTATAAGTGGAGTTCTATTTATTTGGGGCAAAATGGGAGAACTGGAAATTCATATTCAGCAAAATGAAAATGAACCTCTATCTCTCACCATGCACAAAACTCAACTCAAAGTAGATCAAGAACCTAGGAATTAGTCCAGAGACCCTGTGCCTAATAGAGGAAAAAGTAGACCCAAATCTTTATTATGTTAGATTAGGCCCAACTTCCTTAACAAGACTCCTAAAATGCAAGAAATAAAATCAAGAATTAACAAATGGGATGGATTCAAACTAAAAAGCTTCTTCTCAGCAAAAGAAATGATCAATGAGGTAAACAGAGAGCCTACATTTTGGGAGCAAATTTTGCCAAACACGTCAGTAGAGCCCTAATCTCCAGGAAATAAAAAGAACTCCAAAAACTTAACACCAAAAAACCAAACAACCCAATCAATAAATGGGCTAAAGTGCTGAACAGACACTTCTCAGAAGAAGGTATACATTTGATCAACAAATATATGAAAAAATGTTCAACATCTCTAGTAATTAGAGAAATGCAAATCAAAACTACTCTAAGATTTCATCTCACTAAGGTCAGAATGACAGTTATCAAATGAAAAACATTTTAATAATAATGAGACATTTAAACTAACCACTCTGAGATGGAAATGTAGTTATTTAATCTTACCACTTCGTTCCACACCAAACTCCTTGCCACTGAGAATGTGATGTAGGAGGTTCTTCATGGCTGAAGGACTGAGATTCATTAGGCCCTCTGTGGCTTCTTCAGCTAGCAGAATCATAGGACAGAGAAAAAAGGAATTCTAATTTGTCTATAATATTCTCCCTATTTTTCTCCATTTCCCTCCTTTCCTTTTCCCTCCTTCTCTCACCCTTCCTTCCTTCCTCCCCAACTCCTTTCTCTTTTTCTTTGGTGCTGGGGATTGGAAGCAGGACCTTGCACATGCTCAACAGCCCAGTACCACTGAGCTATATACCTTCAACTCCTCTAATTCCTTTCTTGCTTAGAATTTCTTCTTTTTTTTTTTTCCTTCTTTTTTTTTTTTTGGTACAGAGGATTGAGCCCAGGGGCACTTTACCACTGAGCCACATCCCCAAGCGATTTTTATATTTTATTTAGAGACAGAATGTCACTGAGTACCTTAGTTCCTTACTAAGTTGCTAAGGCTGGCTTTGAACTCATGTCGTCCTGCCTCAGCCTCCCTAGCTGCTGGGATTACAGGCATGTGCCACTGTGCTAGGCCTTTTGCTTAGAATTTCTGAGTCACTTGTCTGGAAGGTGAGAATTACAGAATATATTTCTAGAACCACACACTTAACTATTCATACTTCGATAGACTCTTAATTATTTAGGGACTGACAAACCAGTTTATGGATTAGCCAGGCCATAAATTTTGCTGTCACCCCACTTCCACACCATTAGGGTACTTGGTAGAATCTTTATTTGAAAGTGAGAAGAATGAAAGAAAAATTGAACTGGAGGACATTCAGAGAAAGTCAAGGAATGCATATATATATATGCAAATAAAATACTGAAAACTTCTCAACCTAGAAATAGAGAGTTAAAAGAGAATAGGTATGAATCCATGAAGTTATAAAAGAATACTGAGAGGGTAACTTGAAGTTGTTCATCAACATCAGAACTAGTTAAGAGTTTACTACATGAAGGTCATTATTTTAAACAATGTTAGTGAAAACAGGTATGGCATGTTGTTTTACCTTGAGAGGCTGATCATTTGGGAGAGATGGAACATGCAAACAAGATAAACAACAATAAAACACTGTATATATTACATGTCAAAAGAGAGGCATAGATAAGAAGTGCTTTGAAAATCAGAGGAGATATATTGATCTCCAAGGAAGGGGATTTATAAAAATAGTGGGAAGTACTATTGAAATAGTAGGTAAAAGGAAGACTATTGAGGGTCTTATATATCAAACCTGGAGATCATGACTTAGTTCTATAAAGAACTAAAGAGCCATGGTCTTGATGAATCCACAGGGTAATAAATCCATTACGGGCGATTAAGGAAAAGCAAAGAATGGGAGGTTATCCCTTGCTGAGGTTTACTATGGAACAGCTACAACCTCTCATAAAACATCCCTTGATACCACAGCTGGAGAATACTATATAATACATTTATTTTTAAGAATGAAATCTGAACTGGATATCATTTAAAGTAAGACATACTTGAACTCAAATTATACTATTTACTAGCTATATTACTTTGAACAAGTTACTTAACCTCTTTGAATTTCCTTTTCCTTATTGGCAAAAGTGGGATTACATTCCTTACAGAATTGTTATAAGGATTAAATATCAAAAGGTGTGTAGATATAAAGCAAAAAGTACAATGACTGGCATATGATACGTATAAAATAGTTATTCGCTCTCTTCTTTTGAAGGGCTATTTAAATGTAAATTATTTCATATGTTTGATTTAGGCTTCATTAAAACCAATCAAATTAGATATCCATTAACACCTCAATTAAAAGTATTTTGGGCAAATTTAACCAAAACAATGAGCTTCGGTTGTGAGTTTTTTCAATTGTGATTTTATTTTTCTGCGCCATCCCTGTCTCTATTTTTTGCGATTCTTGTTGAAATCAAACAAATATCAATGGAAAACAGAGTCATGGCTGGGAATTCTGCCTCCACTTTATACAATTATCTATAGCTTCCACAGGCCCCAAATACTTTTCCAACTAAAACTTATCTTGACAAATACAACTATTATTAATTTCAAAGAGAGTATTTTTAGACAAATATTAATAAAAATATTGTCTTCCTTTATCAATCATGATGTTGACTAGAGAGATAGGATACTGATCCTATATCTACTGATATAGTGACTTAACTTTGGTGTTCTGAAGCTCCACTGCCTGAATCAGAACCAAACCCAGTATGTCACACTCCAGTATTCTCCAACACACTCTGAGGAGTTGGGAGGAATGAAGTTAGCAGATAAGAAGAATTTCGAGTGCAGAGCCCCTAAGATGTGGCATTTTGAAGTTACAGAACCAATATACAAAAGTGTTACCAAATCAGTCCTTTCACTTGCATAGTAGTGATTAAGACATGAGAACAAGATTGCCTTACACAGCTTCTGAGATATAGGTAAAAATGTTTTAGCTTTCTTTCCCTCCTGATGCCAAACTCCATTGATCTACATGAAAAGTGAATTCTGCCTAAAAATATTACTGAATTGAGTACCTGAGCATCGAAGGGAGTGGGCCAGTTCTGTTGCCATAACTTGTATGATCAGACCAATTCGAAGTCGAAACATTTCTGCAAAGAGGCCAGGCTGGGTTCGCATATACATGGCTAGATATACCATTATTTCCTGTGCACAGATGGATATAGACAAAAAATTATGCATGAGGCCTCACAATGCCTATTTTGTTGTCTTTACAAATTGCTATCCTAATTGAAAACTAATTTTTAAATATTAATCAGCATATTAGGCATTATAATTCTGCTTACCTGTGTAAGGATTGAAATACTCATGTCCCCTTCACTGGCTTCATCTATCAGCTGAGTAAGTGCCTCATAGGGCAGAGGTCTGAGGAAGAAAAAAGTAAAAAAAAAAAATGTACACCCATTTAAACATAAATATACTGAAAAAAATTTTAAAAACCTCTTACTAAGTCCAGGTTATTGCCTCAATACCTCATTATTACCAGTAGCATTTTGGTTCTTTTCATTTCCAAAGTTCATTCATTGCCTCCCTAAACTACTCTGGCCTATATCAACTCAGAGGAGCTTGCTTTTTCCTCTATACACCTAGATTTTCCTTCTCCTAAACATTTTTATTTAAAAGTTATCCATGATATCCTTCCAGAACTAGTCTTTCATGGTTAGTCAATAACATTAGAAAGGTTAACTATTATGGCTATAAAGAAATACACTAAGTTGTGCTTTTTGGAAACCATTTGTGTTTGCAGTCACATATTCATTTTCAAGTTTCATTAGTTCACATATATATACAGACACACACTAAATTAAATATAAATATTGTGTATTTCTTTATAGCCATAATGGTTACCTTTCTAATGTTAATGGCTAATTAACACACTGGTGACTCTCTTATTGACACTAAGTACTCTGGGAATATGCCATCTTTTTTGGATTATTTATAGTGTAACAAAACTGATCTGTTTTGTCATAAAAGGTGGTTTTCCAGGAGCAAAGTGTTATGGGCTGAATTGTATTGCCCCCAAATTCATAAGTTGAAATCCAACACTTGTACTGGAGAGTGTAACCTTATTTGCTCATATGATCTTTAGAGGTGGCTATGTTATGTCACTGGAGTTCACCCTAATCCAATATGACTAGTATCTTTATAAAAAAGGGAAATTTAGACATGAAAATGTGCGGAGGGAAGAAATGTGAAGAGACATAAGAAATAAGATGGCCACCCACAAGAAAAGATCCCTGGAAAAAAGTCCTTCACAGCCTTCAGAATGAACCAACCCCACTGAACTTCTAGCCTCCAGAAATGTGAGAGAATACATTTCTTTTCTGTTGATTAAACCACCCCATCTGTGGTATTGTACTATGACTTCCTAAGCACATTAACACTCAAGGATAGGGATATTTTCCTAAAGCATAACTAGGATTTTACACATGGAACCTGATGCATGGTCCTAGGACATGTCTCCCCAAGTCTTCATCAGGAGTTTAAACTGGATATTACAGGCAACAGAAACCATGGGCATGGAATAGGAAGAAGGTAGAATGTAGACATCAGCAAAGGCATCCCTGATCACTTATCTCTCATTTATTCCTGATTCAACTCTATATCTAGAACATATTTTGTTTACAAAATGAACTTTTCACTATACTGGCTACTGAAGTAGACTGACAGTCAGGATAAACATCCTGTTTTAAATTACTCCCTCATAGAAAAATGGATTTTGCAGATCAGTTATGAATGAAGTTAGAAACCTTCTAAAAATATTTCTTGGAAATACAACCTGCTTGCAGATTTATATATTGGCACTGGCAGGACATGAAATTAGACAGATTTAGTGCAGATGAGTTTTACTGGCATGGCTTGTGACAAATGGAAAACTTGTGTAAGAAATAAAATGTTTCATTCTAGCCTTTCACCCTTCTTCCCACCCTCTCCAGTCCTAGGCTATCTGAGGGTACTGCTGCCAAGTGTGGCAGAACTAAGGCAGGAGTAGTTTGATGATACTGTTCTTCCAAGGTTGCCACCTCACTCTGCTCTAAAAGTACCCATTTCCCCACTTTGGCCTTGACTTCTACCACTTTTATCACTTATTAAGCAGCATAGAGTTGCATCATCAGCCCTGTACTCTAGCCAGACACCTTCTTCTACTTCCTCTCTCAGAGGACGGTTGGTTGACTATGGGTGCCAATTTACAGTGACCTGCATGTTTTGTTGTGCTTTTTTTGAAGAGAGGTTTAGGAAATACTAATAAGAAAAGAAAAGTTTAAACACTATTCCATGTTAGTTGTTCTCTTTAATTTACCCATGCCCTGTTATTCCCAATATTTTCTTGCTGAATGTCTTGGACAGAAGTGTGTATGGAGGATGTTGTCATCAATAGACAGATTAAGGCAATAGAATTGTATAAATTCACACAGTTCCTTAAATGCTCAGAGAAACTTATCAAACCTAACCAAATGCCATACTCACGCAGAGATGGTCTTTTCTCGAGGTTCTGGAGGGAGTCCCACTGTCAAATGTTTCTGGTGGGATAAAAGGTCTGTACAGGCCTAAGAAGAGACAGCATGACATTATCCTTTCCATAAAACCTCATATTTCCACAAACTTTTCTCTTCTTAGCCTAGAAACCTTTGAGTCCTCCTAACCTAATAACACACCAAACTCTCTTCCTCAGGAAATACAATGATTATCAGAAAAGAGGGATTTCTAGGAAGGAACAAAGGGGTCTTACTCTTTGGAGGTAGGTACTTTTAGTTTAGTGTAAATTCATGCTTAGGATGTAGAATTCTTATAGTTTATAGCACCTCAAAAGTCTACAGTTATTATGGTTCAGTAATATACATTTGTCACTAACAGAAATGTAAGTGAATATCAGAAACTGTATATGTGAAAAAAAACCATATATAATAATTAGAGAATGTGGTTGCCTTAAAAACAATTAAGGAAACCAATTTTTTTTCCAGTAGTCAGAATGGAATCTGGGGCTTTATGTATGCTAGGCAAGCACTCTACCACTGAGCTACACCTCCATCCCTGAAACTAACTTTTAAAAAGCACACCCATTTGTTGGTAAATGGATGAAACTGGAGATTATCATGTTAATTGAAATAAGCCAGATCCAGAAAGTCAAAGGTCAAATGTTTTCTTTGATGTGCAGAAGCTAGTACAATAAAAGAAAAAGCAAGCGTAGGAGGGATTTCATCAAAATAAAAGAAAGATCAAAGGAGTTGATGAAGGGGATTGAGGGGGAGGGAGGAGGGATGGGATAAGGGGACAATAATGGAATGAATCTAACTTTCCTTCATACATATATAAATATGCCACAGTGAATCTTACCATTATATACATCCACAAGACAGTAATTTTAAAAAACTGTAAGTAAATAGCAGAAAGATCAGTAGAGGGAAGGGAACAGGGGGAGGGAGGAGAGGAGGGAAAAGGAAGTAACAGGGACTGAATTAAAGCAAATTATATTCCATGCTTTTATAATTGAACCCTATATTACATATATGTAACCCTATGTTACTTATAACTAAAAAGAACCAAGAAAAAAAAGCAAAAAAGCATGCCCATTTAGACATGACATAAATTCAAGAGTTTATAGTACTTCATCAAGTGCTTCCACTTTCTTCCTTAATATCCCAGAGATGTATCTAATCAGGCCCCAATGACGAATTTCTCCAACTTTGCCATATAGTTCAGTAAGAAGCTCTCTGACTGTAGCACCCCCTTCTTCATACAATTCAGTGTCCCAGTCAGGTCCTCTGGAATTTTAAAGACAGAAGTATATTAATTAAAAGTAAAGTATCCAACAACAATCTTATCTTTCAGTGTTATAATGGACATACCTATTGTTTTAAATTCTTTTTTGTAGTTGTATTTGGACAGCATGCCTTTATTTTATTTGTTTTGTGGTGCTAAGGATAGAATCCAGTGCCTCACACGTGCTAGGCAAGTGCTCTACCACTGAGCCACAACCCCCACCAGGATATACCTATTTTTGACAGGCCTCCCTTAATCAGGAAACTAATACTATTTACTAGAAATCCTTATAAAACTATGATGAACAGTCACCCTAAAAGGCAAATACCTAGCCAATAATGTCTTAGTTTCATTTATACTTGGACAAAATGCATTATTTTACTCTCTTTACAGGCCTCAACAGGGATGACACTAAAGACAGATTTAGTTTACCTACTGGAAGTTCAGAAAGTATGATTGTACTTCAGGAACTAATGAAGAAATAAGAAGGATGTGTGTTTATTTTTAAAGGATACATATACATTATTGGCACAAAATTACTATAACACAATCAACTATGAGGGGCCATAAAAGACATACAAAGTTCTCTGAAATTTGGAATTTAATATGTGATAAAGGCAGATTATTTATTACATGATGTTAAGACATCAAGTAGCCATCTTGAAAAAGGTTGGATCTATACTTTACACTGTATATACCATAATTCAAAATGTATCAAAGATCTAAATATAAAGAAACTAGAAAAATATGGGAGAATTTGTTTATAACTTTGGAGGGAAGAGGAATTTTAAACTATGGAACACATGTTTGAAGCCATAAAAACGTTAATACATTTGTACACATAAAACAACAAAAAAACCTTTGATCTCAAAAACCACTGTATGCAAAGTATAGGACAAATTACAAAATGGGAAAATATTGGCACTTCATAGGGCCAATTCTCTTTACATACATAAAGACCTCTGGTAAATAGATCAGAAAATAAGAAACAACAAAAGAAAACCTGACAAAATAAATACTGGCAGGTATTAAATATAGGAAAGGTTGCTCTACCTCACCCATAATAATAAAAATTAAAATTAACATTATACCAAGATAATATTTTTAATATATCAAGTTGTCAAAAGTTTCCAAATTTGATAACACTGCATTGGTTAAAACAGGCACTTTCCATATGTTCCTGGTAGGTATAAAAATTGGGGTGACCCATCTGGAAGGCTTTCTGGAAATATATATTAATATCAAAAATACTGGAAAACAGCTTTGTAGTGCCTACAATGGTTAAACATAGTTACCATGATTTAGCATTTCTACTCAGATCCAAGAGAAATGAAAGCATATGTCCACATTAATTTGTATGTGAATGTTTATAATAGCATTATTAAATTTGCCAAAAAAGTGGAAATAATTCAAATGTCCATGAACTGATAAATAGATAAATAAAATGTGGCAGAGTCCTACAGGTAATAATATTTGCAAATAAATGAAGAATTGATACATGCTACAACAGAAGTAAACCTTGAAAATACTTTGCTAAATGAAAGATAATTGTTACAAAGGACTACATACTGTATGACTCCATTTATATAAAGTGTCCAAAATAGGCAAATTTGTAGAAGCAAGAAATAGATTAATGGTTGGTTGCCAAGGGCTAGGGGATGGAGGGATTGGAAGTTAATGGATAAAAGGAATAGGAATTCTCTTTGGGATAATGAAAAAAACTCTAAAATGGATGGTGAAAGAGATATGTATGATACAGAGAGTATACAAAAAGCCATTATACACTTAAAAATACCTATATTCTTTAACCTATCAGTCCAATTTCTGGTTTTCTGGAAGATAAATTCCTTCCACACATGTGAAATGATATATGATTAAAGGTTATTCACTATAAACATTGTGATGGTGAATAAATGGATAATACACAAATGTCCATCAATAGAAGATTGACTTAATAAATTATAGTACAGTGAAATAATAGAATTCAATACAGCTACTAAGAAAATATAAAGTAGATTTAGCCAGGTGTGGTGGCCCACACCTGTAATCTCAGCAACTCAGGAGGCTGAGGCAGGAGGATCATAAGTTCGAAACCATCCTCAGCAACATAGGAAGATCATCTCAAAATGAAAAATAAAAAAGGATTTGAGATGTAGCTTAGTTAGTAGAAAACTTGCCTAGTAGTGAGAGGACCTAGGTATAATATCTAGTACTGCAAATGAATGAATGGTTAAACAAATTAATTAAAAAATAAAAGAAGTGGGGTCTGTATTCCCCCTACTTGAGTCCAGGCATACTTTTGACTAAGGTAAAAGTGACACCATATGATTTCTGAGGCTGTCATAAAAAGCAACACAGCTTCTACCTGGTCTTCTCTGGGACACACACTCTTAGAACCCAGTATTCATGCTGTCAGAAAATAGAGACACACATGGGAAGGTTATTTGCTGTTATTCCACCTGTAGGTAATGAGATTCTAGCCAATAGCCAGCCAGTCAGTATCAATCCCCTGACATATGGATGAGCAATCTGTGTCATGATACAAAGTTTCAGTGAAAAAAAGCATGGTATACAGCAGTGTATACATTATACTAAATTTGGGCAAAATAGGGATAAAGTACAGATGTCTGCATTTACATAATAAGCATAAAATATCCCTGGAGGTTGCACACACACACACACACAAATATACTGGTTGCCTGTGAAGTGGGGAACTGGGTATCTAGAGGTGGGAAAAGACCTTTTACCCATTCATTATATTTTCTTTTGTATTTAAAAAATTTCGATCATGAGAATGTATTGTCTATTTAATATATCAAATTTTTTTAAAAAACATGAAATACTACAAGAGGTTAGCCAGGTGCAGTGGTGCACATCTATAATCCCAGCAGCTCGGGAGGCTGAGGCAGGAGGATTTCAAGCTTAAAGCCAGCCTCAGCAACAGCCAGATGCTAAGCAACTCGGTGAGACCCTGCCTCTAAATAAAATACTAAATAGAGCTGGGGATGTGGCTCAGTGGTCACGTGCCTGAGTTCAATCCCCGGTACCAAAAGAAGAAATAAATACTATAGGAGGTCATCAACGGATACAAATCAAGTGAGTTAAAGTTTGAAAAAATAATAACATATTTACATAGTCCCAAGGTATAGCTCTACAAGATTTATTTTTTATTTCAAAAGATAATAACTTTGCAGTGAAGGAATCTTGAAGCTACTGTCTTAACCAACTGATCAAACCAAGTGATCAAAGTTAACACTACTAGCAATTGGACTAGTCAACATTATGTGCCTCCTGACATGACACACAGAGAACTTGGCATCACTCAGGGGTATTCCTGAAAAAATAAAAGCATAACCTGAATTTACTTATGATAAAGCATCACAGAAATCAAGACTGAGCAGGGCGTAGTGGTGCACACCTGTAATCCCAGCGGATTGGGAGGCTAAGATAGGAAGATCGTGAGTTCAAAGCCAGCCTCAGCAACTGCAAAGTGGTAAGCAACTCAGAGAGACCCTGTCTCTAAATAAAATACAAAATAGGGTATGGAAGTGGCTCAGTGGTTGAGTGCCTCTGAGTTCAATCCTCAGTACCAGAAAAAAACAAGACAAAAAACTCAAGACTGCGGGGGATTCTACAGGATAAATGATCTTTATTGTTCTAAAAATATCAATAACATGAAAAATGAGACTCAAACTATTTTAGATCAATGGAGATTCAAGATACACAAGAACTGAACGAAATACATGATTTTAGATTTTCTTTTGCAGTAAATACATTAATGGTCTGACAAATCTTAATAGGGTCTGCAGATAGATACAAGTATTGTTTCAAAGTTATTTTTCTGATTTTTGTGATTATAGTATGCTTATGTAAGAGAGTTCCTAATTTTTAGGAAATACACACTGAATATTTTAGACGTGATCCCCATCTACTCTATCACTCCCAAATGGTTCAAAAAATAATGTGTGTGTGTGTGTGTGTGTGTGTGTGTGAGAGAGAGAGAGAGAGAGAGAGAGAGAGAGAGAGAGAGAGAGAGAGAGAGTATAGATGGTGGTTGTGGTGGTATAAGAGAGAAATAGAGACAGCGAGAAAAGAGAGATATTAAAGCTCAGTGGAAACACTAGAGGAATCAGAATAAAGGATACTAGAACATTTTTGTGTTATCTTTAAAACTTTTCTTTAAATCTGAAATTATCCAAATTTACTATAAAAGTATGAAAAAGTGCTATAAGATCTCAGAATCAGGAAAGATTATTATTAACCTCTGATCTCTTTATTATTAGAGATCAGAGAATACTTTGTGGAGGTGACAGATGAACTAGACTTTGATGGATAGAGAGAATTGCAAGTATAAATAGAGATGTGGTAGCAAAGGAGAATATTCTAGGCAGAGGAAAAAACATGAATCAAGGTATGAAGGTAGACATGCAGAGGCTGAGCTTTGGTGAGAGCACTCACATTGTGAGTGGAAGCAATAGTAGATAAATTAGGTTGAAAGGTCTTAGAAGGTGTAGATTTGGCCAGTGATTCCCTATGGAACTTGGTGATGTGGGGAGAGGCGGGGAAAAGGAGGAGTTGAAGATGATACAATTTCTGGTGATCTGAAAGAATGATGGTATCAGAAACAGAGTAAAGAAAGACAAGCAGTATGTTCTGGTACAGTGAATCTGATTTTAGACAATATTGAGCAGGAAGACATACATAAAAATAAATTCCAGGTAGGTTAAAGACCTAAAGCATTAAAAAATTTATCAAAGGTATTTAAAGCATTTTTTAAATTCTGGAAGGGGAGAAGATCCCTGATACATGCAAGAAATCCTGAAGCCAAAAGAGGAAAATATCAGGTTGGGGGTATTACTCAGTTGAAGAGTGTTTGCCTAGCATGTGCAAGGTTCTGGGCTCAATCTCCAGTACCACAAAGTAAAGAGAAAAATAAAAAGATCAAAAGGTTTGCCTACATAAAAACTGAAGTTTTAATGTAGAGAAAGGCACATAAAGTTAAAAGGCAAATTCCTTGGAAAAATACATGAAACATGTATAACAAAAGGGTAATCTAATATTGATAAGAAAAATAAAAAATAACGCAAGGTTATAAACATACAATTCACAGAAGGAATATCTGTCAATAAACATAGGAAAATGCATCTGTTATTCTCCTTATCTACACAGGGAAACTGGATAGAGTTCCAAGTGTATCACATAGCCACATGGCATGATCATACACAATCTAGTCAAGTTTTTGTGTGTGCATGTGTATATGTGTGTTGCTGGATGGACCCAGTGCATTGTGTTATGCCCACAACCTAAGCTATGCCCACAACCCCTATTGAAGTGATCTGATATTATATAGAATATTAGTTTCAAGGAGATTATAGGGTTCACTCAGATGTCATGGTCAAGTTAGGATGCAATGTAGGAGCAGAAGAGGTGATCAACCATGGATCATATGAATTGGTGTGAGCATGAGCTTCTGTGTACAACGTTTTGCCTGCCCATCTCAATTACCCCTCTGAATCTTCAAGTTCTATTCAAGCTACAGTTATTCTGTCCTTATCCTTTATCTCCTTTCACTCTCTCTATCTTTCCATTCCCCTGCATTTAGCATGTGCTGGTACCTAATAAGTACACGACACATACCTGAATAAAGTGCTATACCACAAAAGAAAAAAAAGAAAGAAACAAAGATACCAAAATAAGACCCAGGCTTTTAAGAAAAATAGTAACACACAATAAGCTTTACTGGGTGGCACTTTGATAGGTTGCATAAGAAGGGAAGTCTCTCAAAACATGAAATCATTCAGAAGACCTTGGCCCAGATTCTGTCACTCAGAAAAGGAGAAGGACAAGGGAACTGTCAGAGGGAAAGGAGAAGCTGGGGTAAGGGTTAAATGTCTAGGTGATGTCCTTCTGCAGCACTGTGTGGGATGTCTAGGTTAGTGAATTCTGAAGGGGTGCAGTGGTTTAGAGTATTCATGGCTGATGTTTAATTATTATGAACAAGTCTGAGGTGAAGCATATACAAAAACTCAGGCCCCATATAGCTAAAAATCTATTTGAATTATTTTTATTCTAATTTTTGATATGTCTTGCTATGTTACCCAGATTGGCTTTGAACTCATACAATCGGTGATCCTTCTACCTCAGCCACTGAGTAGCTGGGACAACAGGTATGTGCCACCATGTCTGGCTTCTTTGGGTTATTTATTTATTTATTTTGGTACTAGGGATTGAACCCAGGAGTGATTTACCACTGAGCTAAATGCCCAACCCTTTTATGTTTTATTTTGAGACAGGGTCTCACTAAGTTGCTTAGAGCCTCACTAAGTTGCTGAGGCTGGCCTCAAACTTGCTATCTTCCTGCCTCAGTCTCCAGAGTTGCTAGAATTACAGGCATGTGCCACCACACCCAGAAGGTTATTTTTTTAAACAACTGAGTATGTAAAACTTTTACTTTGGTGTTCAATGGCTTTTCAGCTAACAGAAGACCTGTGTCTTTTTCATTTGCTCATTAAATAGGATAGTTTGATGAAAATAGCATGAACTTTGGAGTCAGAGAACAAGGTTTTTCATCTCATCTCTTCCCCTAACTGTGTGACCTTCAGAAAGTTGATCAACCTTTCTGAGTTGGTCCTCCCATCTGCAATAAATGTAGGTACCAATCATCTCATGGAAAAAGTATAAGGATTAAATTAAGAAGTTCATTTGTTTGACCAGCCTATACTGAGAACATATTATAAGGCAAGCACTAGGTTGTTTTCAGACTACAATAAAACAGTCAATGTCCTTGAAGAGCTTAGTGTAATGGAGGTGATAGGCACGCACACACACACACACACACACACACACACACACACACACACAATAACATGGCAATAAAGTATTAGTTGTCTGTACTGCATTACAAGGAATGCTTAAGGAGCAAGGATTAGGAAAGTCAAAGGTTTCAAGCTGACTCCTTGGACGATATGAGAAGAGCTGAGTATAAGTCAGACTGAAGAGGAAGGAGAGAGTCCTTGCAAAGAGAGGAACATGAGCAAAGACACAGAAATGAGACAACATAGTGTTGATGAAAAACTATGAGCACTTTGGTGTTGCTGGAATACCAATTACAGGACACGAAGTGGTGAAAGCGGAATCTGGAAGGAGGCAGGAACTTTATCACAGAGGTTCCTATGTGCCATATTAAGGCTCTTGAACTTTCCCCCTGCTTAAGTGAAGCAAAAAAAAATTAAGGGAGGGGATGAGCATATTAAAGAGATCATTGTGTAGAATTAGAAGACCAGGATTTGGCAAACCTTTAATGAAATAGTAGATCTGGGCAATCACCACTGATACTTGCTAAAATCGTTAGGAAAAAAGCTAATGAGGAATTGTATAATGGCAACAACAGGCTAATTAGATCTTATTAATATTCACATGACAAAAAGAGCAACTTCATAGGCAATGCTCTGTACTTAAGTAACATCAGGAGGCACATGATATCTAGTTGTTGCCCATTTTATTTTTTTATTTTTTTGCAATTCTGGGAGTCAAACCCAGGGTCTTGCACATGCTAGGCAAGTAAACTAACACCAAGCTACATCAACAGCCCCTTTTTCCAAATTTAGAAGGGGGTATAAATCCTGCCTCTTTATATTCTATTCACTATAACAAGAAAAGAGGAGAAAGAGCAGGTTTTTTTGTGTAGAGGTAGGCAAGAAAGAGGAAATCAATTTGGACATATTGAGTTTAAGATACAAAGTACTAAGGGGGTACATAACACATAAGAATACATTTGAAAATATTAGTTTCTTTTTCCTATAAGCCTCTGTATTCTTCTTTCTCTTGTGTTAAGAATATATCTGTAGGTTTTACCAAATAATGGAGGCTTAATAAGAACCATAATTCTGGGGCTGGGGTTGTGGCTCAGCGGTAGAGCACTCACCTAGCACGTGTGAGGCCCTGGGTTCGATCCTCACCACCACATAAAAATAAATAAATAAAATAAAGATGTTGTAACTAACTAAAATGAATAAATAAATAAATATTTTAAAAAGAACCACAATACTGATAATAATCCTTGGCAATTATTGATTACTGATGATGTGCCAGGCATTAGGAACTTTATAGATTTTTATAATAATTCTATGAGGTATGTATAATCCAAATTTTGTAAATGAGGAAAATTGAGGCTTTAAGTTGTGGAATGAGTAGGTTGCAAACCTGTATTCAAAACCAAATCAGTGAAACTCCAAAGCTGTGTTCATTTCCTATATGCTATGATCTGGATCTGGAATATTGTCCCAAAGGCCCATGTGTTAAAAGTTTAGTCCCAGCCCATGACACTATTGGGAGATGGTGGAAACTTTAAGGGGTGAGACCTTGTGGGAGGTCTTAGGTCACTGGGGGAATGCCCTTGAAGGTGATTATGTGATCCTGGTCTCTTTTCTCTCTCCCTCTCTTTCTCTCTCTTTTCTGCATCCTGTCCATGAGGTGAATGGTTTTGCCACATGCAGCTGCCATGGTATGCTGACTCACCACAGAACCAAAAGAAATAACTCATGAACTGAAGCCTTCAAAACTGTAAGCTAAAAAAACCTTTTCTTTTAATAAGTGGATTATCTCAGATATTTGTTATAGAATAAAATGACTATGTTATACTTCCTCTCTATATGAACATTAAAATATGCTAATAATATCCATCACTTACTTCATAGTATACAACATGTAGAGAATATCAGCTTGTTCCTGTAAGCTTGTGGTCTCCTTTAATTGTGAAACCAGTGCTTCAAAGTCTACCTCCCCAGATTGGTCTCTAGGAAGATGCATTTCTACACGAACAGAGGGAACCTTTAGTTTGAGAAATGTTGAAAAGAAATTAAGTCCACAAGTGCTCCACTTAATATGCCCTAGAATGAGTCATCTTTCTATCTTTAAAACTTTTCCATAAGAATTCTCTAAATGTTGATGAAAAGCAAAGCAAAAACAGTGAAACCATCAAGACATATGATACAGCAAAGTAGTTTTCTTGAAATGTACTTAGGAAAACTTGTCCACTTTAAGACGGAGCTGAAAAGGACATGTATCTTCATCAGGATAGTATTTTGCCTACTATCAGCTACTAACAGGAACCATAATGGCTAGTTCTATAATTTTCTATAAAGATGGCTTTTTTGCACACACAAATAGAAATAACTCAAGCTCACATTTACCTGGTCATCTTGTGGGGACTGAGGCGAGTCAAGTAAGTTGAATGAAGGCCGAGAAGGCTGAAATAACTTTGTAGGAAGATACATGTGAACATCTGCAAGAGGTTAACATTTATTAGGAAGGTTAGCTAACTAAGAGACCAATAAAGATACACAGCTGACCTCAGGAATGAGGTCATATATCAGTCAATTCTTTATAAAACAAAAATGGCAAATTTTTTCTTCCTTGTTGATACCAAAAAAAGAGAAATGTGAATATTAGATAATTTAAAGACTGTCTAATTAATCAATAAACATATTTTAATTTGATTTTCTAGAATTATACCATCAGGTGGTCATGTAAGATATTAAATTTACTAAGTGCAATGAATTCCATGATGGTGCTATCACTGAAACTTTGGCAGAATGCCACAAGTAACACAAAGGGTTCAGTTACATTTTATATTTTCTGGACATTCCTAATAAAATACTTGATGGCTAGTGGTTGGATTTCCCTGAGAATAGGTGATTGGATGAACTTATCTAGGGAATCAAAACAATCTAGTGGCTGACCAACTTTGAGATATTCTTAAGATTTCTTACTTACAGTACATTGTTGAAATACTTACCCATAATCACTAAGAAGAGACTCTCTTGTCATTTTCACCATTTTACGTATACAAAGAGTTACAGAGCTCAGATAACTGCTCAAGCAAGTAAGTAGCAGAGCTAGGAATTAAGCTCAAGTTTTCCTGATTCACAATCGAGAAATATGACAATAAACTTCATCTTACATAAGCCCATTCTCCAGTGAGTATACCCAAAGGGCATGCTAAGCTTTTCTCCTTTATACATGTTAAATGAATCCCTAGAGTTCATATTTAATATCTTTGGTTAGTAATGGTCAATAAAGTTTTAGACAGCAAGAGCATGCATCTCAAGCATCCTCATTATTTAAATAATGTTAACATTTAGGTTTTCTAGGTGTGGCCAAGGAGCCCTTCTCTCCCTTCATTTGTGGCTACTACACAGAAACAATGAATACTTTTAGGAACCATGGCAACTCCTAATAATGTGTAGTAGAAGACATCCTCCACTGTAAATATTACTGAAAGAGGAAAGGGGTCATGGGGAAGAGTATGCAGTGAAGGATGAGTACCATATTCGACAATTACAGATCTACATGGCTAGAATGACCAACTATAAAAATTATAACTGGCCTAATGGAACCAATTGTAACTTAAGACTATCTCCCTTTCCATTGCATAGCTGACCTGTAATCGTCTTGCAATGCTTTATCTATAAACAAAACTACTTCCAAAGGAGGATTTTTTCTAAACTTTTCCTTCTTCTATCATTTTACAGTGATGTTAGAACTGAATATGCTCCACGTCTATTGTTCTGACTCTCCTTACCATGTCCCTGGTTAAACCAGACTCTATAGCATTATGGATAGCAAAACTGTATTTGATTTATTGTTTTACAAATATTTGAGTGTCTGATATGTTCCAGGTGCTGTCCAAGATGCTGGGGATAAAGCAGTGAACAAAACAAAGTTCCTGCTTATGTGTAATCAATATCCCGCCCCCATCCTGGGCTTTATGTCATCCTGTGCCTTACTCTAGTGAGTCATGGCATTACTCACTCTGTACATGGAGTTCCTTGGCCTTGGTCACCAAGGACATTAAGTCGCAGGTTGTTTGCACAGCAGCTCGGAACCGATCTAGCCCTCCCTTCTGTGAGGTAGGGGCTAGTTTAGGATGGGGAGCAGTGTGCGCCAAAAGGTGATCTAAATAACGAGCAACTTCATCACCACAGCGAGCTGCAGGATTAGTGGGAGGAGGGAGAGAGAAAAGAATGAACAGTTTAGTTACTTCAAAGTCTACCCCAGCAATCAGAATGATGGGCTCCCGTACTCATAACGCAGCACCGGAAGTAGGCTGTTTTTTTGATCATGGAGGGGCTACAAAGCTTGTGATCATTATACAACCTCATAGATTTAAGATTTAGAGAATATAGCCACCAACCAGGACCCACCTGTTCTTCAGGTTTCCCGGGACAATGTTAAGGTTCCCTGAAGCAGTATGAGCTTATTCTAAGATAGGTAGAGCAAGTGTTTCATAATTTGTGTAGGTAGGTGTGAGCGATGGGATGGTGGCAGAGGTAAGGAAGAAGGAGCAGAGCAAGGCCTTTCAAGTCCCACTAGTAGGAGACTTTTGTGAGAAAGGGTCAGGGAACGACAAAAATCTTCCAAAAAACATTGAGCCTGGTGATAAACAGAATCTATGAATAAAAACTACAATTACTACTAATACAAAAAATCTCCATGTGGCATTCATGAAGAAAGCACTATGAGACTCTTGTGGCCTTTTAGTCACCTCATATATTTATTTGCCAAATATATATTGGCTACTATGTACCAGGCAGTGTACTATGTGCTATGTTTTGGTGAAGTAGATATGGTCCATATCCTTTTGGGCTCCCCCTCCACCATACAACTTCTATAATATTATTATTTTTTTAAAGTTAATTGATCTTTATTTGCATGCCAGCATATAATATTAGATAATGAAATACAGATAATTGAAATAAAAATATACATATACTCTGTGGATGCTTAATATTTTAAACTTTACATAAATATTCATACTGTTTACAGTTGAAAAGTACACTCTCTGGATCAGTAGAGAAGTCAGCTAAGTCAGTCAACATTATCTAGTTTTGGATGATCTTAAGTTGAGAATTACAAGAATATGAAGAGAATCTTTCTACCTAAGCAATCAACATACCCACTGTGAGACCACTAATGAGCACACCCAAATGTGGGAAAGTGACTCAGAATGCTATAAGAACAAATGTAGTGATACAAATCATAAAAAAGATGTATTTTAGCACATCTTCAATCCCAGCTACTTGGGAGGCTGAGGTAGGAGGACTGCAAATTCAGTACCATCCTGAGAAACTTAATGAGATCATATCTCAATATAAAAAATAAAAATGTGGCAGTCCTGAAGAACACAAAAATAATAAATGCTGGTGGGGATGTGGAGAAAAAGGAACATTCCTACACTGTTGATGGGATTGTAAATTAGTACAACCACTATGGAAATCAGTACAGCAGTTCCTCAAAAGGCTAGTCGTGGAACCACCATATATGACCTAGCTATACCACTCCTCAGTATTTATTCAAAATAATTAAAGTCACTGTACTACAGTGATACGTTCATACTCCTGTTTATAGCAGCATGATTCACAATAACCAAACTATGGAACCAGCCTAGGTGTCTGTCAATGGATGAATGGATAAAGAAAACACACACACACACACACACACACACACACACACAATGGAGTTTATTCAGCCATAAAGAAAAATGAAATTGTCAATTGCAGGAAAATGGATGGAACTACAGACCACTGTTAATGGAAATAAGTCAATCTCAGACATTAAGGGTCATGTGTTCTCTTTCATATGCAGAAGCTCAAGAGGAAAAAGGAAAACAAAGGTGGGGTTGGATCTGCTAAAAATCAAAGAGAGATCAGTAAAGGAATGGGACCAAAGGGTGGGAGGTGGGGAGGGAGGAGTGGAATGCTGGGAAATGATATTGGCCAAATTATATTGTGTGTATGGATGCATATGTAACAACAAATCCCATCAAATACAACTATAACATACATATGAAAAATTTTTTTTAAAAATTCAGGCTAACAGTCAAATATCCAGACAATAAAAGTAGGCAACCCAAGTTTTAGATGGCTAGAAGGATAATTACTTTTTAAGGGCCCTTCTTTCTTTAAGATTCAAACAATATAACAGCTTGTCTGGCATAAGTCAGTGTTTTTACACTACAGGTAAGGATTTCTCAGTCATTTTTAATTTAAGCCCCCACAATGCTTACTTACTACATCCTAGTAGCCAGTTATATTTTGGTTTTACTGTGTATTATTTGTGTAGTTTGTAATATGAAAGCAATAGGCATTTTAAACAGGCTTTTTTTGAATTAACATATCTCCCCAGAGATTCTGATATAGCCCTCAAATGTTATATAAAAAGCACTCTAAATTAAATTTTATATTTTATAATTTTAAAGTAAAATGCAGTAATGTATATGTATTTTTTTACACAATATCACTATTTATTTATTTTTATGTGGTGCTGAGGATTGAACCCAGGGCCTCTCATGTGCTAGGTGAGCGCTCTACTGCTAAGCCACAATCCCAGCCCTGTATATGTATTTTTAAAAAACGTTTTAGTTGTCAATGGACCTTTATTTTACTTATTTATATTCAGTACTGAGAATTGAACCCAGTGCCTTACACATGCTAGGCAAGCATTCTACCACTGAGCCACAACCCCAGCCCTGTATATGTATTTTTAAACTGTGCACTTGATTAAATATCTCTTACTCACCACTGCTTCTTCCCATTTCAAAATCACCAGGCACTTCAAATGCCCCAGAAGAGAAATCTTCCCTAACCTTAGTAAGGAACAGTCTAACTCCACAATCACCGCAGGGATATTAGACCAGAAACCAAAGGTAAGTAAAGGGATGAAAAGTGAAGCCAAACAAAAGTAGAAATCTAGGTGTATTAAAGAGGAGTGAGGTTGGTACACTGTGAGATTGCTGGCAGCGTGAATTATTAAAGACAATGCTGAACAATATTACATATTCTTATCCAGCTAGCCAGTGCTTTATGAAGCCTCCTTACCATTATTGATTGAATCAAAGCCATCCATCCAGTTGCCAGATTCAAGCTCATCATAGGTTTCGTCATCATAATCTTCACTGTACAGCTTACCCTCAGGTCCAGGATCCATGAAGCTCAAATGCGAGCAGCAGGATGTGGTCAAAAACTCTGACAATTTACCTGTTTGAATCCTGACAATTAGAGGGTAGATACAAAACAGGAAATCAGGGGCAATCCTTTTTTTTAATTTTTATTTTTAGGGGCAATCCTTTTAACACCACAAAATCTTTGTGATAAAAGAATACTTATTATGATTTGTTGGAGGATTACTAAAATTCATCATTAGTATACATTTTGTAAACGTGAAATTTCTCTGCACTCCTAGGCATAATGCTCAGCTTAAATGGTCAGAGGGTTCTCTTAATAAAGTCTACAATTATGGGTTCACAATCTACCAGCACATCAATTTTGTTCTCTTCCATTGCCATATGTTATTTTGATAACTATGTCAGATGTCCAATTTGCATTGGCTACTTAGATAAGCCAGGATAGAATGAATATAAATCAAAACAAACCCATCACATCATTTAAAAACTAGCCCCTGCTGAACATTTGGAACATAAAATATGGTATTTGAAAATTTTATACATTACAGTAGCCTGTAAGGCATATTTTCCCTTACTTATAAAGCCAATTACAAAACTCAAAAGGAAAGTGAGTAGTAATAATTTTCTAAAAAATCCAGCTTGAAGGAGCTGCTTATTCCCAAACCTTGGATAATGTGTTCATTGAAATAAATGATGACAGGAATGGATCATGACATATTGAAATAAAATAAGAGCCTATGAATCTATGCTGATACTAAATGACAAAATATAGGGGAAGACAAAGCTCCCTTTTATATATAGCATTGTCAACTAATGAATGAACACAGAATGACAGAAACACAGAAATGCCCTTTTACAACTCTATTAGTAATAATTAATTCATGGAAGAATCAACGGAAGCTAATTATTTGGTTGAAGACTGTTGGGAAAACAGATGGAGAAACTTGGCAGATACCACTTTAAACAAGTGATCAAAGTTAACATCACTAAGGTAAGAAACCAATCTCATGTGCCTCCTGATACAATGTTCTGAGAAGGACTATAGTGATTTCTTATTTTAGGTGACTTCAGCATCTATTTTGAATATGTTTAATAACTTTCTCAGAACACAGGAAGGGCTCAGTCATCCTTGACAGTTTCCAGTTCTGCACCTGCTCTAGTTACTTAGGATTGATCAAGATATCTGTCTTATACAATTTCCTTCTGGTAATCACATTCCTAAGTACAGCTAGATACAACCTATTTGACTGGTCCTTATGACCCCCAAATCCTGCATAGACAGTGTAGATATGCTTAGTGATCTCTTCTGAGCCATAGTATGACCCCCTAGAATTCATATTTGCTTACTTTAAATTACGTTACCCCTTAGAATTTCCTATTGGAAACCTGTTTTTATAATGCCTTGGATCCCAATACAGGAGATGGCCCATGGGTCTCTGTCTTTGGGCTCCTGGCCTCTGTGTGTGGTTTCTGGGCATGCAATTCACTCCTTCCTTGGTCAGTAAGTAATAAAATCTATATTCCCATCGTGTATCTCTCCTAATCATTTAAAGGATTCTTTCCATCTTGAAGATCCTAAATTAAAACAAGGATTCAACATCACACAGGTAGTCCTCCTGCCAAACATATAACCTGACAAATCCAAATTGAGAGACATCCTGCAAAATAACTGACCCACATTATTCAAAAGTTAATGAGATTATCAAGAAAGATTATCAAAATTATCAAAATGGATAATGCTGGAAAACTGTTCTAGATTAAAAGATACCAAAGAGATATAATAATTTAATGCTAATGTTTACTTCTTTGGAAGTAAGTACTCCTTTGGTTGGATCCTGGATAGGGAAAAAAGCTATGGGAAAACATTACTGGGGCAATTGGGCAATTTTAAACAAGGATGTTATTAGATGTTAGATATGGTATTCCCTTCTTATCTGTGGGTTGGCATTCCATTGTTTCAGTTACTCAAGGTCTATGGTTGTCCAAAAATATTAAATAGAAAATATAAAAACAAATAATTCATAAATTTTCTATAACTTATCACAGTATACTGATACAATTGTTTTACTTTTAGTTATTGTTATTCATCTCTTACTGTGCCTAATTCACAGCTATCTGTGGTTTCAGGCATCCACCACGTTTATCTAGGTATAGTATCCCTGAGAGATAAGAGGGGAATATTGTAGTGTATTAATATGAAATTCCCTACATGTGATGATTATATTGTGTTTACTTATGATACTATTTTTGTTCTTAGATGATAGAAACTGAAGTATTAAAGGCTGAAGAGTCATGATGTCTATAGCTAACCTTCTTAGCAAAAAAGTATGTGTATATATATGTTTATATATATAAACACACATATATATACACCCTCACCCATATGTGTGTGTGTGTGTGTGTGTGTGTGTGTGTGTATGCACATATGTTTGAGTGAGAGAAGTGACAGGGAGGAACAGAGGAAGAGAGAGAAGAAGGGAGAGAGAAAACACACATTGAAACAAACGTCAACAATAGGTGAATACTGAGAAAGGGTACATGGGTGTTTCATACTATGCTTACAAATTTTTGTAAGCTGGAAACTTTGGAAAAATAAATATTTGGGAGAAAAAAAAGCAGCCAGAATTGGGTAAATTCAGTAAACTTCTTTTTCTAAAGAATACGTTTTGTGGTCCCCTGAGATCTAGAAAAATAACAGGGTGTGGAAATCTTCTAAACTTTTTCTATTACATTGAATTCCTTGATTCATTCAATCAAATTCTAGTTCCTCTGAGTATGATGGGATTGTGTTGTTGAAGACACACAGAGAGGCAACACAAGTCTGCCATTACTCTTCTCAACTCAAAAGTTTCAATTAATTTCACTAACAGGAATATATAGATCACTTACCTTGCCCCACCAAAATAGCCATCCTGCATTTTTCGGAGTGCTGCCAGGATACTTGAATTCAAGCTCGTTCCATCTTCATCTTGAAATGGAGAGAATTTTAGCACAATATTTATGGCTTTAATTTTAAAGTAGGGGGAAATATTTCAAACCAACATTCTGGTAGTGATGGTACAAATAATCACCTTATATTTCAATAATTCACCTGAGAAGCAACACTGCTGAATGGGCACATGGTAAGGCGTTATGACTAATAGAAAGAGTTCTTCAAAGGCATTATTTTATTTATCCTAAGTACTTAATACAGTATCTGATGGCAGAGTGTTTAATCACTCCTGAATGCTGACATAATTATGCAGCAGTAACTATTTGCTGACTGTTATGTGCCAAGCACTATAATAAATGTTTTATATACATTATTTCATTCATATATCTTAAGCAACACATCCTTAGTGCTTTTTATATGAGATTGATTTAAAATTTCATGTTTTGTTTGTCATTTTTTTTTCTTTTTGTGTCTTACAAAGGACAACTTTCCTCAGCCTTGATTTATATGTGTGTGCATAAGCATAAAAATATCTAAAAGGCTAATAATTATCTGATTTTGTGTGAAAGTGTTCATACTGCACATAATCATTTGTGATCCACTTTTTCTGATCCATCCTTTGCAATAGCTAAAAATGACTCCATAGAAGACATTTAAAGTTATAATCAACTCTGTACTGAAGATCATTGTACCTAATCTTTATGGATTTATTCTATTATTTCCTTAGGTTAAATTTCTACAAGTAGAACTTGTAGGACAAAGGGAGCACATATTAAAATAATTATAGAGACTGCAAATCACCACTAAAATCATTGTGCCAATTATATTTCTGCCAACAGTATAGAAAGTGACTGCATTTCTATACTTTTAACAAGAATGGGAATTAGCAATCTTTTTAATCTTTGTTTATCTGATAGATAAAATAAGAAGACACTGTTTTAATTTTATTGCCAGTAAATGGAGCATGTTTTCATGTATTTACTGGTCATTTGCATTTCATGAATTGCCTATCAAGGATCATTTTTCCATTAAAGTAGTTTACATTTCTTTTTTTCAATTGACTTTCAAGAGCTTTTTATGTTTTGAATATTAATATTTTCTCTATAGAAACATGGCAAATACTTTTTTTATTTTATTATTGGTCATTCAAAACATTACATAGTTCTTAATACATCATATTACACGGTTTGATTCAAGTGGGTTATGAACTCCCACTTTTACCCCGTATACAGATTGCTGTAT